CCAACTGGAACTCATTCTATCATATCGGGGTGTGACGGGGAGAGGGGATACCCTACTCATCACAGGATTTTGAGTTTGCCGAGCTCCCACCGGGGATTTCGTGTATGTATTCTTGTGTATGTGTTGTAACTTAGAAATAAAGAGAACAGCTATTCAGTGTATCACTGACGCCACCTGTAATTCAACTACACTATAAACTAGAGGTGTCAGACGCTCTTATACTTACTCCTTCTAAGCCCCGTTTTCCTTAAATACTCCTATATTCATATCAACGAACATACGTACACACTACGCATGAGAATTAAGCCTATGTAGGTGGATTGAAACAATGTTGTAAATCCCTAAATCCTAAAACAAGAATTTCTTGCGACCGCTTGCGATAGACTTGCTCGAGTTCTTGCTTTTCTTGGGATTTCTTGGAGTGTGTGCACCCCTAAAGAAAAGGCCTAGTTTTTTATATTTGCTTATGAAACTCTTTCCAGTTATCTTAATTATCTGCATATGTAAATTTGTTCTAAAATTACGAACAACAAAGTATTTTTGTCTGATTGGTGCAAAAACAATAACAATTGGGCCTTTTTTGTAGCATCCCCGAAACCCCAAACAGTTTGATATACTCTGATACATGTTTGACCTTTACTTTTCCTTGTGAAATTAAGGAAAATAACGTTTCCGTTTTTCAAAACTATGTATGCTAGAGCAAACCGATGATAATCGTGTTTTGTTGTGACCATGATACAATATCAAACATGTATCAAGGGGTCTATAGTTACGGGTTGCCACAAAAAAGGCCTATGGTAAGTTATGTGCATCGCACATGTGAGCATGTCTACTTCCCAACACTGTACAAGGAAATAAAATATGACTTCAAAAATGCTTGAATGGGATTGGTACATTATGCCCTTTTTAGGTTACTAAATGTTGTTTTCGTGACACGGAGTTATCATCAGGAGATTAAAGTTTATGTAAAGTGGAGTTTCCCTATCACAGTTAACGGTGAAGAGGAATAAAATATTTGAATTTGAATATTTGCGCTTTACTTCCATGTTATATGACAGTAAGGTGTGCCGTGTATATAAATATATACTGTGTTATTTATACCACAGTGAGGTGTACTTTGAATATCAAATATATTTTAAAACTAAAATGATAAAATTATAGTTATATATGTGGTTGGATTTTCCCAGGACTTCGGACTGACCATCAGCATATTGAGGGTAAATGTGGACTCACCATCAGTCCACCTACTTAAAGGCCAAACTAGTCTATTCTTTCCAGGGATCCCGTAACAGGTTGCTTCCCCAGCCATGAAGGGAAGAGCGGCACTGCTGTTTTGCCCCAACTAGAGAGGGAAAGGCGATACCAATGCAAAAAGTGTAGTATAATTTACTCACTATAACTGTAAAGATTGATCAAGATATACAAACACACACGCTCCTACATGAATACCATCCACAAATATCATGATAGAAAAATGTTAACAAAAATAAATAATTGAAATCAACTTTGCACGGTGTATGATTGGCGACTATTTTACTCTGTTTCAAAGTACCTGCTCCTCCCAAATTTAGTTATTTTCAGTCCATAATTGCGTCTCTTGTACATTACAGATCACAATAATAGTGGTATATGATGAAAGAATATTGTCGGATTTTCTATTTCTGCTGAAATATGGTATATCAGGGTAGTTAGCACAATTGTGTGATGATAATTAAAACAGGTGGGTTGGCTTTTCTTGTTATTTTCTTCTTTCTCAATTATTTTCAATCAATGATATTTATAGAATCCACGCCTATCTTCGATATGTAGTTCATCAAGGGTTATTGTAGTCATTTTGGTCTTTTCTGGAAGGCCGTTTCTCCAGAGGATGGGGCGCTGCACAGTGACCAAATCCCAATTCGACAGAAAATCCCCATTTCCCCTGACAGAGAAGACTAGTGTGACCGTTGTTTGACATTCTGTACCTTATAGAGATCAACAAGTGCATTGGCAACTAACCTAGGCTAACCAGCCACCCATTTAGGAGACAAAAGCTGGCAGCTCCAACCAAGATGGCAGTTTATAGGCCTGCATCATCAGCACTCTCCTGTACGGCAGTGAGACATATGCCAACCAAGAGCGGAACTGAACAGCTTTCACATGCACTGCCTTCATCGCATCCTTGGTAACAAGAGCGACAGAGTACTCAAAGCCTGGCCTTCCAGCCATGTGCAGGCTGCTCAGACCACGCAGGCTACAAGATGGTCGTATTCCAAAAGACAAGGTTATTGTCATATTAGTGCCATTGATTGGCGCAAGGAATGGATACTGGGAAAATGATCACAAGCCCATAGTGTTGGAGCCGCGTGTTAATTGAAAATGACGCTGTAGGCGATACTGGTGGTCGGGAATGTTGCTATATTCGTATTCACAGTCAGTGCATTTCAGGAAAGTGTAAAACTCGACTATCGAAATGTTAAATAACAGATACTACTGTCGTATTTAGACCCTCTGGTTAGATCAGGGTTAGCAACATTATTAATAAATCTGCCAGCTTTGTAGAGTCCTATTCAGTCGTGACAACTTTCTTGTCTGAATGTTCTTATTTATCTAATTGAAAGATACGGATTTACTTCTTTGTAAAGAATGGATGGATGTGGTTACTTTCTCTGCCGGTGGTTGATAACAAACTTAAAATTACCCCTAAGCAGATAGATATAGACAGACAGATATTACACATACACAGGCTTACATATGCCCATATATATGCAAGCAAAATAAATGTTCTTTATGAATGTATATTGGGACGAGTCATTAGTATATGTTAGTTATAATTTCTGAAATCTTTAATATACATCAGCAAGAAATGTGTGAGAAGCTATTCCTGAATGGTGTGGTGAAAGGTAGCAAGGAAAGGTAGTCGGGAGCTTTATGAATACTTTGACATTGACAAAAACGAAAGTCGGGTGTGAAGCGACTATGAATACAGTTGTTTTCCTCATACTGCTACTCTGTTTCATACCCTTTTCGAACTCTAAACACATACCTGACATCGGCGTGGTGCTAGGATGTGGCGGCCTCGGGGAAACCGGGCGGGTGGTGGAAGGGGGATGCACCACCAAGAGGGGCTCGGGTTGCTGAAGGAAGAAATACTGTGGTTGCCCTGAGCCTTCCAGTGTCACTGTGGCCGGCAAGGTTGGCATCTTCAGCCGCTGGAATACTTCGCCCTCCCTCTGGAAACGAGAGACGAATAAGAGGATATTTCTTTGTAAGTTTTGGTCTATCGTTTTATGTTTTTTTTTTCTACTTTCATTGTAGGTTTTGGTCTATCGTTTTATTATTATTATTATTATTATTATTATTATTATTTCATTTTCCACATTCTTTTTCTCGCTGCCTCTTCCTTGGTCTCATTGCTTTTGCCTTTATTTTTTACCATTATTTTGCGTACGCCAGCCATACCCAATGCCTCGCGGTTACGCGAACGTCACACATATATACATTATTTAGGGATTGGAGCATATAGACGTTATTTCCAGGTAATAAGTAATAACATAACCTAACCTAACCTAAGTGAACGTGGAATCCTCTCGTGTCGAAACCGACGCCACCTTGCTTGTTTCACCAATCGGGGGATTTTCTGCCGCACTCGTGATCACTTATTCTTTTGTCTCTCCTTACCTTTCCCTTTCAGTTTTCCTTTTCTTGTTTCACCATTCACCTTTTCTCTATACATTTCGAATAAAATATGTACGCTTGTAGGAAAAAAGTATAGGGATGGACATCCACGGCGCAAGAGACGCCTTTCATTTGTTTCGACAAAACCGGTTTTTGTGTATTTTTAATGAATGAATAGTCGAAACCGGTCAAAAACAACCGTGATCTTCATTCTCTCAAGCGTCTTTTTCCAGTTTTGTCAAAAGAAGCTCTTCATGTAGGTATATATCTTTTCCAATTATTTAATTAGTTGGTCAGTCACTGTTAGGCTATTTCATTGTGTGTGTGTGTGTGTGTGTGTGTGTGTGTGTGTGTGTGTGTGTGTGTGTGTGTGTGTGTGTGTGTGTGTGTGTGTGCGTGTGCGTGCGTGCGTGCGTGCGTGCGTGCGTGTGTGTGTGCGTGCGTGTGTGTGTGTGTGTGCGTGTGCGTGCGTGCGTGCGTGCGTGCGTGTGCGTGTGCGAGCGCGTGTGCGTGCGCGTGCGTATGCGTGTGCGTGAGGAGATGTGTTTGTATATGCGTGCGGCATGCGTGTTTCTAATCGCACGAAGACCCTCAGGGTCACGTGCTTAGAGGTCTCTGCTCTGACCGTGTCATTCTTGCGCTATGTACACATGTTGACAAGTCATCTCGTCTATACGTGTCTATGTATCTGCTGATGTGCTTATACGTAGGTCTACACTAAGATACCTTATACGTGTCCATACTTATGTATGGCAGTGCCGACTGGAGCTCTGGACATCTTAATCTAAGATAAATAAAAAATTGTCTACAGAGCACAGTCTACGCTCAGGAAATCGCAGTACAACCTCTTTTTTCTAATGACAAATATATAATTTCCTCAATTCCTGATGCGTTCTGTGTTACACATAAACATATATGCAAAGAGACATAGATAGGCAGAGGCAGACAGAGAGCAGAGGGAGAGGAAGAATGGAAGGGTGAGAGAGACAGACAAATGCATATACAGCACGTTTGCACCTTAACCCCGCAGACGACGCCATCCCCGACCCCCGCCGACGCGACGGAGCATTCGATAGTGAACTCATGACTCATGTAAGGAGGTAAAGCCTTCCCGTCGTCCACGTCGCGAGCGTTCTTCTGCTCCGCCGTCAGCGTGACGTTTAGACTCCCGAGGACGAGCGTGGGCGTAAAATGGCTATTGGAATATACGGCCACAAGCTGGTTCCCTCCAGGAGTCAGGGGCACCACAACGCTCTCGCCGTCCACGCGCCAGGCGTACCAATCTGCAAATACTCAATCATTACTTTGATCATGTCATGGTACGACACACACAACACAAATATATATATAATATATATATATTATATATATATATATAATATATATATAATATATATATATATACACACACACACACACACACACACACACACACACATATATATATACACATAATACACACACACCACACACAACATATAATATATTAATATATTATAATATATATATATGTATATATAATATATATTGTATAGTATAATAATATATATATATATAATATGTATGTATGTATGTATTGTATAGGTATATATTTATAATATATAAATATAAAATATGTATGTATGTATGTATATATATACATATATACATATAATATATATATATATACATAATATACATACTATGTATGTATGTGTGTACATAGGTAGATATGTATAAATACATATATTTAATATATGTACATATATAATATATAAATATGTACACATATTCTATATTATATATAATATATATATAATAGATATAGATATATATATAGATTGACAGATAGATAGATAGATGGCTATATGAATATATATGTATACACACATGCATAAAAATATACATGCATGTGTATACACACACACACACACACACACCACACACACACACACACCACACATATACTATATATTATATATATATATATA